TATATATATATATATATATATATATAGTGCGTGTGTGTGTGTTTGCGTGTGTTAGAGAGAGAGAGAGATCTATGCACTTCTCTAAGGTCTGCCTCATAAGAAGTCTTGGCAGAAATGTCCTCAGGCCTGTAAAACCTTCTCACTTCCATCCACACTTCATTGATCCGAGACGATGGTGAGGCTTCTTCATATACATTCAAAACCTCACAAACCACATGTGGTCTTTTAATGTCATCATACCCCCAAAACACAGCCTTTACATACACATAATCTCCTCTCTCTAACTTCAGAGGAACCAAAGCCTCTCTCTCTGTGCAAACCGAACACTTCCCCATCGCTTGCTCAAGTTCTTTCTTCTGAATCCTTAAAAAGGCCCTGTTCTCCTTCAGATAAACATTGCCACAAAAGAATTCAGCAGACTCATCCTTTTTGTGAGGAACCAACCTCAAGTCTAGTTTCACCTTTCTCTTTACATTCTCTAGCTTGAAATCTATGCATCTCTCATTCAAGAAAACTTCCTTTGGATTTGCTGCATTCCCTAAGAAAGTGTCACAACCTTTCACTAAAACTCTCCCATGAGCCATGTTGGACTCATCAGACCTCTGATACATATACTGCACTAGGACCAAAATATCACACCCGTTTTCTTTGACCAATGCCACCTCTTTAACACTCAAGGTTTCTCCATTGAGGGATGCTCCTCCAAACAACATATCACCAGACACTGGATCATGGATTGGTGCCTTGATCCACATCACCATTTTCTCAGAAGTTTTTGGACCACTCACTGGTTTATCATGCTCCACTTCCATGCTTTGTTCTTTCCTAATCTCCATGGTGGACTCTGGTTTACCATGCTCCACTTCCCCGCTCTCTTCTTGCCTACACCCCATACGAGACTCTGGCTTTACATGCTCCAGTTCCATGGTAGTCACCTCCTTACCAACCTCTGTTTTATCATGTTCCATAGTCCCTGGTTTACCATGCTCTACATCCATGCTCTCCTCTCGCCCCATCTTTTTTGAGTGATAGTCTGTCCAAATATTGTATCCAAGCTTGGTTTTAGTAAAACCTACGTCCTCCTTCGCCAAATCTTCACATGATTTCAACTGTGGCAATGGCTGCTTTTTCCTCTCTCTCTTTGCCTTTTCCTTCTTCCATCTCTTGAACGCAGGGTTTGAAGTCCCTGAATTCCAAACCTGAGGAATATCAATCTCTGGCTTCTTCCTGGTCTCTGCTGATTGACATTGTTGGATCCGCCAATTCTTGTCATCGAGTGAAAGAAATGAACCGCACGCCTTTCTATCCAATGCCTTTGCAACATCCACATTGCACTTATGTACAATACTTTTTATTGATGTTATTTCAGAGAAGACTATCCCATCAAGCCCAATAAGCTGCTCGGCTACGAAACCCAAGTTAGAATTCACATAGTTCCAAGTGGTTTCTTCATCTTTGAAGGTGTCAAAACAGGGAAATATATCTAAAACCAGTTTCCTACAGAACTCATCAAATTCCAAATCAGGAGTCGCACAGATGACATGAAAGGCCTGGATGCAGAGCATTGCCTTCTCATAGAAAGGCTTAAAGAAAGGCATGTAATCTGCACTTGGCTTTTGACAAAGGTAGTCTGCCATTTCTGTCGACACCCATATCTCAGGGGCCTCCTTCTCATAGCCTGTAATGCACCAAGATAAGGCTGGACCAAAGGACTTGCACCGAACCCCTAGGTCGGGTTCTTCCGAATTGTAGCTTGTCCAAATCTCAGAGGTGATGTACATTCGATCAGCTTCTAAATTTTCAAAGGGCTGCATGACTTCTCCCTTGTCCAACATCTCAAATCCCTTGAGCCTTCTTTGGTCCTTAGTAGTCTTGGAATTTGTGGTCCCAGTAATGCTAACTGCGACATATTCGTCATTAACCACCTCTATTTCTTCTGTTTTTTTCCTAACATCCAAGGCCGTCTTCTTTATTGTTTCTATGTTCTTCTCCTGGCTCTCAATAATCGTAGGAAGAGATTGCTTCTTAGGAGGATGATGCTTCTCCTCCTCCAAAGAAGTTTGGGAGGAAGTGGCCCCTCTCCTGGCTTTCTCACCATCATTATCTTTTGAGCTCGCCTTGGTAAACTCTTCATTGCAGTTTTGGATCGAGTAGAAAGAGCCTGAAAATTTCCTTCCGCTCACCATATTCGCTTGCCTAAGAATTCTGATCTTCTCCATATCCTCCTTGAACTCCTCATTTATCATTTTTATCACCTTAAACTCAGAGAAATGCTCATCAAGCGCAACCAACTGGTCAGCTACAAAAGCCATATGAGGCTTCGCTGCGTCCGACATCAAGTTAAAGTCAGCATAACCTGGGCAATCGTCTAGCATATTTAAGGCCAGAAGTGATAAAAGATCCCCAAATTCCACCTCTTTATCCAAAGTGAGTTCCTGAAAGGTTCGAAAACAGAGTGAAGCCTTAAATTTGAAGCAGCTATAGTAATGGAAGTAGCTTTCTCTAGGCATTACACATAGGTAATCGGCCAATCCTGTTGAGACCCAAATAGAGAGGAACATTCCACGAAAGCCTGTAATACACCATGATCTAACGGGCCCAAAAGGCCCACACCGAAACCGTAAATTTTCTGATGTACATCCCTCAAAAGGAATAACCACACCTGAAATGAACAGGCTTTCGGGTGTTGATTCATCAAACATTACCATTTCACCCATTGAATTTGTAATGGAAAAGCTTGTCAGCCTTCTTCTGGGCCGGTCCTCATCTAAGTGAAGCGCAGTCACTGCGATCACATCCGTCTCATCATTTATTTCTACTATGTCCTTCATGTTTAATTCTTCTATTACTTCCTCTTCTTCTTCTTCTCCTTCTCCTTCTCCTTCTTCCTCTTCTTCTTTTTCTTCTTCTTCTTCACCCTTTCCTTCTCCTACTTCTTCTTCTCCTTCTAATTCTTGATCTTCTCCTTCTAGTTTTTCTTGTGAACGTTGCTCCTCTTGAATGGTGAGGTCAGGGTTCTCATTTGAATCAGAATCTTTTGATGGTTTGGAAGCCGAGGAAGAGCCCACATTGCGTTCGACCAAGGATTTGGGTTCATTTCCTTGACCAGTGGATGAAGTCTTCGTGGCTCCTGATGTCAAGAGAGACATAGCAGCTCCTGATGGCAAGAGAGCAATGTCAGAGGGTGTGGGTTTCACTCCCAAACCAGAGAGAGAAGGCGCCATTGATTCAGGCTTCCTATCTGGATTGGAGAGAAAGACCTCCATTGATTCAGGTTTCTTCTCTGGATTAGAGAGAGAAACCACCATTGATCCAGATTGGGATCCATCATATATATATCTTTCTCTTCTGAAAAAGAACAATCCACAAAGGATTTGGAGTCCTTTTCTTCATTAGAGCTGGAAGCCATAGTAAAATTGAATTCAGGTTCCATACCTGATAAAGAGGCGTCTGTTTCTTTGAAATTCAAAGGATCAACTGAAATGGGTTTTACTCTCTTTGAACTACCATAAGGAAGATCCGTGGATGCGGCTCTCTTTCCTGAAGCCTTCATGGCTTGAGGTTTCTCTTCAGATGCAGAGCAAAAACCATGTACATGACCTTCTTTCCCTTCCAAACCAGATAACAAACCTGGAATTGTCTCCAAATTCTCTTGTGAACCAGAGCAAGAAGTTATGGTGGGTTCTGATTCCTCCATCGAAGTGGAAGAAGGTGCAATGGGTCCTGAAATAATTTCTGAATCAGTCCAAGACAATCTTCTTTTCCTTCCTTGGGGAGATACAGATCTTTTCCTTTTGTTCTTTGGGGAAACGAATGAGTCCTCCATGGGTCGAACTGGGGTTAATCAAAACGTATCTGCAGGGAAACCAGAGAAAGAAACTAAGAAAGAGAATCCGAAAAAGAATAACATTAGTGAGAGAGAGAGAGAGAGATGAAATTCGTTACAATTGGAATGGAATTGGAGAGAGAGAGAGAGAGAGAGAGAGAGAGAGAGATAGTAAATTACGTTACTAAGTTAGGAAGTAGGTAAGTTGGAGAGAGAGAGAGAGAGAGAGAGA